CACACCCGCACACGCACGCGCCACACGCACACACGCATAACCACACACACACAACACACACGCGCACACGCACACACACACACACTCAGATACACGCACCACACACACACACACAGAACACCGCACAACCACACCACAAACACACGACACGCACACACACCGACACACACGAACGGCGCATACACGCTCACCTTCACACACACACACACGCGCGCACACACGCACGCGCACACACGCACACGTACAAACGCACACACACACACTCACGCACGAGCACACATGCACGAACACACGCACACGCGCACAGACGCGCACGCACTCACGTACGCGCGCACTCTCACGCACGCGCGCACACGCACACACGCACACACGCACACATGCACGCACGCACGAGCACGCACACGCACACACAGACAGACACGCACACGCACACGCGCACGCGCACACACACACACACACACACCACACACACACACACGCGCACACGCAAACCCACACGCACACACACACATACGGACACACGCACACACGCATTCACGGACGCGGGCACTTTCGCACACACGCACACACACACACACGCGCACGAACGCACGCACGCACGCACGCACCACACACACACACACGCACGCACGCACGCACACGCACACACGCACACACGCACGCACGCACGCACGTACGCACGTACACACACACACACACGCACGCACGCACACGCGCACACGCGCACACACGCACACACGCACCCGCACACATGCAGATGCACATGCACACACACACACACACACGCACACGCACACACGCACACGCACACACGCACACACAGACAAACACGCACACACATACGCACACACGCACACACGCATTCACGGACTCGGGCACGTGCGCACACACACACACACACACGCGCACACACGTACGAACGCACGCACGCACGCACGCACACACACACACACACACGCACACACACACACACACGTACACACGCACACACACGCACACACGCACACACGCACACACGCACGCACGCACGCACGTACGTACGCACGCACACACGCACACACGCACACACACGCGCACACGCGCACACACGCACAGCCCGCGCACACATGCACACACTCACGCACACACACACACGCACATGCACACGCACTCACACACATGCACACACACTTTTTCTGTCATCGGCTGGGCAGAGGTTACTGCTCGGGCGATGTGACAGTCATGGGGCGCCCAAAATGCAAATCGGGCCGCGGCGCGCAGGAGGAAGAGGGAGGAAACCCAGCGCGGACGGGGAGAGAGGAAGCCGGGCCCCTTCGGGCAAGTCCCGGCGGCGGCGGGGCGGGCACCGGGGTAGGGACCCAGCGGCGGCGCCAGGCAGCTATTGTGGGGAAGGCAGCCCGAAGGCGGCCGGGCAGAGCCCAGAGGGGGGAAAACAAGACATGCGAAAGGGCAAGCCCTGAGACCTTCTGACCTGCCAAGTGCCTGAACAGCCCGCGATGGCAATACCTGATGGGGGCTGAACATGAGGAGCAGCAAACGGCTGCGCACGGAGAAGTTGACATATCACGTGACTGAAAGCGCGCAGCACGAGTAGAAACAATGCACATGCAGGTCCGAAAACAACCTGATTCGCTCTGCCGTAAAATCCTTGGTGGGTAGCCGCGCCACCAAGAGAAGCCAGTGTCAGTGACACGTCCACGCTGGCCCAAACAGTCTGCAATAGAGGCGCCGACCGAAATATATTGGTAGGGTACCGTTCAGGCAGCACGAGTAAAGACGCAAGGTGCACTGTACGGGCCGACGTTTAGGTCGCCACCAAATCGACCAAACACGTCTCGGACAAACGCAGAAGGCGCCGCAAAGCTCGCGGAAGGTCCAGCTGTGGAACCTACGAGCGGAGCTTGAGGAGGGAGCTCCAGGCGCCACAACAAAAACTACAAAGCAAAGCGGGGCGGCGGGGACTTTGGCGAGAGCCGCTGTGGGATCAGCGGTTCGCGCGAGGTTAGGCCGATCTTCTGCACGGATCGACCCGCAGACCCCGCCGCCCAGGCAAGGAACACTCACGCAGCATCCCGAACATACAGACGGGAGGCGGCAGCTAGGCAGGGGCACGGCTGGGCACCACAAGTGAGACCAACCCAAGAGACCCATGCCAGGGTGGCCTCTCACTGGCCCGCACAGCCCAAGGGGACTGCTACACCAGGAAGGGGGGCGACGCACAGCGAGAGGGAGAGAAAAGAGGAGGAGGAGGAGGAGGAGGAGGAAGAGGAGGAGGAGGAGGAGGAGGAGGAGGAGGAGGAAGAGGAGAAGGAGGAAGAGGAGGAGGAGGAGGAGGAGGAGGAGGAGGAGGAGGAGGAGGAGGAAAAGGGGGATAGAGGCGTACCGCGCCAGCAGTGACCGCCAGGCGTGCACGCGGAAGAGGCTCACCCCCCCGCGGCGGGGACGACTTGGACGGAGGGGGAGAGGGGGGGAGAAAACAAGCAGGGGCAGAGGCAGGAGGAGAGCCTGGAGAGACGACGGCCGGGGACCCCACGACGCGGCCGAGCCTACGACCGACGGCGACGACCGAGCGAACCCCGCGACCCAAGCGGAGGAGGAGGGACCGACGCACCACCGCGGAGGGGAGCGCCGCCGGAGAGTGGCGGGAACGCCACGCCTCTTCCGACAGACAAAGAGCGCCGCGGGCGAATGGCAAGGAAAGGCGAACAAGGGCGAGCGACAGCAGGAACACGGCGAGACCAAGATGCGACGATCGGCGCGTGCCCAGAGCGACGAAAGCAACGGAGCACACCAAAGGACATCATTTCTGTGACATGAGCGACTGATCGGTGTGCGAAAGGGCCACAAGTTCCTGACGGCCTGACTGCGCGGCAGCCCTTTTCTGGCGACTAGGACATCATGTCTCACACTCTGCGAGGCAACTGTGCAGAAAGCTCATGCCCTGCCAGCATGGGTCAGGCGCGTTGCCGCCGAGCTGCGCGCATTGAGCTCTCCAAGCGATATTGCTCTGGCCCCCCAGCCGCTTGATGCGGGCCACGAGCTGCCCTGTGGAGGCGCCCTTCAGACCAGCCAGGTGTCTGGCCGAGTCAGGGCCCTCGGCTGCTTTGGGCTGATCCGTCGGGTGTGCTGAGGCTGGCGGGGCGCGCGCGCCAGCCGGTTGCCGCCCGAGCATTGGTAGGGGGCAGATCGCGACTTGTCGTGGGGCTATTTCTGAGCGAGTTCGCCCCTTCTATGTTTCCACAGTCCCATGTGGAGTGATCCCAGCGTTCGCGAGGCCATGGGAAGTCAGCCCACGCCTCCTTGACCATCAGCCAGAGGCCATCCTGCGTTGGCCGGGCGAGTCGATGTCTGTCCCCAGACGGTGCCTCCGCAGCGGGCGCGTGGGCCATGATCGGTGGAGGACTGGTGGAAAGCGCGCGTCCGTCGCGCGCTGCTGCCACTGTCGCCCGCGGCGCCTGCTGCCAGTCTGCCGTCCGCGACGTAGTCGACGAGACAGCTGGCGCGAGAGAGCTGCGGACCTCTCACCTCGCGCTGGCGCCGCCCGCAGCTGTGCCATTGCGCGCCCGGGTCCGCTGGGAGCAGGCTGTCTGCTTCCTCGGCCTGGGCAGGCGGCCCCATGGTCTCGCTGGCCAGCGCTTGCCAGAAAGGCGCCGGCGAGCTTGCCGGAGCGTCCGCGCCTGTCGGGAAAGCGACGACGTCGTCCTCGTGGCCCGTCCACTGGGGACCTTGGACCAGTTCGCTCGCGGGGGGCTTTCTCCGCCCCCATGCGCCCGCCAGTTGCCGCGGCGCTCGGCCGGGCCCAGGCCGTCGCGGTCGGGCAACGCAGACCGCAGCGGCGCAAGGCGGCCGCTAGCAACAAGGCGGCGCAGGGCAAGCGAGCAGCTCGCCCTGCCCCTCTGGGTCTGGGATGCTGTCGTCAGGCAACGAGTGGTCGGAGTATTGTGGATCGAGGCATCCTTCCCCTTCGCCCCTCCCAGATCTTTGAGCGTCATCCGCCTCGCCCTTGCCCGCTGGTGATTGGGCGGGGACTCCGCTTAAACGGAGAGGGGGCGTCGGCGGGCCCAGGGCCTGCCGCGCCGGCCCCCGAGGGCCCCCCCGCGCCCCGCGCCGCCCGAAAATTAGCGGGCATGGCCCGCGCAGGATCGGAAGGATAGGTGGCGCGGCGTCGACGAGGTGCGCGGCCCGGCATCGACAGGAACGACCGGCGCCATCCTCGCGGGGCTCGTGCCCCATGGAGTTCATTCGACGCCAGCGTCCGGGATCGCCCCCTCGAGCCCCCCGCGGGGCGCGTCGTCGCCCACCTTCGCGACCGCGTCGACGGCCTCCTTGATCTCGACGCCCCCCTCCTCCATGGCCACATCTTCGTCGCCCTCCTCGCCGCCCTCATCGCGCGCTTCGTCGAAAGCCTCCCTGACCTCCACCCCCTCCCCGAGTCCGCCTCCTCGTCGACCCTCCCAGCGCCCGGGAAGGCCTTCTCCGCGACCTCCTCCGCCTCGTCGTCGACGCCCCTCTGCGCCTCCACCTTGCCCTCCTTGACCGAGCCGCCACTGGAAGGCCCGCTGTCGCCGCTCATTCTTGCGCGCGCAGACGACGGCGGCGCCCGGCATCTCGCTGCGCAGATCCAGGGCTGGCAGCCGCTGCCCCTGCCCGTCTTTTTCGCGCGCGCTGATCGGG